TCAACAAATGATATATTTCACATGATTATACCAAAATTTAAAAATTTCCGACGGAAAATCCCAATCCAAGCAACGGAAAATAGTCAAAAAGTGGACAACAGAGTTTCGTTTGAATCTCGATTTTGATTAGCTTGCAATTTTGTCTACTTTAGGTCTGTGTAATTTTCGCTACGTAACCCAAAGCAACAACAATTCCTTTTTTCTAAATGTTCCGACTTTCGTAACGAAAGTAACGGAATATTTGTGCTCTTAGTGAGTTTTTTTCTTCAGACAATTTTCGACTTTTTAACTAGCCATTTTTGACGCTATTTTTTATATCATTCAAAAAGTATTGTTGTCTTAAGCTTGAATTTGAAAAAATATTTACCTGTGATTGTTTTTCGGAAAGTTATGGCGGTTTAAAGATTGCAACTTTGATCAACATGGGACAATTAACGCGCGATATGTTTCGCGCTACTAACGCGTAAGCGAGAGTTAATCCGTCTTAGAAATCGTTCCAAATTGGTAAAATGAAGCTTATTTGCCCTAACTGATTTGTTAATAAGAGCAAAATTTATCACTTTGTACTTAACATGCTGTGTGGGGGGGGGTACCTTTACGAGAAAATCTCTAACTTTTCTTTTTAAAAAAGTTTAACATATTTTACTACATTTAAATTTTTCAGGTTATTACTGCTCCATAGACCATAAAAAGCATTTGGAACATTCAGAAAGCTTCGCCCTGATACGAGCAGTCTTTTTATTTTCAAAAATGATTCTTTTTAATGCTTTGCGAGGAGCTGATACATATAAATATATACATATTTCAGCTCCGGATGAATATCTTATTTTTTTTCCAGCATTCTTCAGAGTTTGCAAAAACAAACAGCTTCTAATTTGTCATTTTTAAAAGAAAATTTTAAGAAATAAGGTTTCTAGGAAATTGGCCGGAAGAATCGATTTTTGGAAAATTAAGAAAACCGTATTATAAAATTATGGAAACCGAACAAGACCGCTTGTATCAGGGCCAAGCCATGAAAATCTCGACTGCTTTTTAAGCTCTATGAAGCAGTAATGACATGAAACAATTAGATGTAACAAAAGAAAAATTTTTTCTTTCGAATTTGGCATTTGTTTTGAAAATCATCACCCCACACGCCATTTAAAGTACAAAGTGGTAGATTTCACTCCTGGTTACAAATCGATTATGGCAGTTAGGCTTCATTCAAGCAATTTGAAACGATTTCTAATACGGATTAAATCTCCGCTTGCGCGTTCATAGAGCGAAACATATCGCGCGTTAATTGTCCCAAATTGGTCAAAGTGACAATCTTTAAACCCCCATAACTTTATGAAAAATGATCACAGGTGAAATATCTTTTCAAATTCAAGCTTAGGACAACAAGACCTTTTGAATGATATGAAAACATCCATCAAAAATGGCTAGTTAAAAAGTCGAAGTTTGACTGAAGAAAAAAACCCAGAAGAGCACAAATATTCCATTACTTTCGTTACGAAAGTCGGAACAACAAGCGATAAGCGGGATACTTTCAGTCAAATTAAATGTCTAATATATCAAATAGTCCAAATGTGTGGCAAGCACTTACTCACTCACAATATACCTCATTCAATACTTCATTCAAAAAGTATTGTTGTCTGGAGCTTGAATTTGCAAAGATATTTTTTCTGTGATCATTTTTCGTAAAGTTATGGGGGTTTAAAAATTGCCAATTTGCCAAAAATTGACAATTAATGCGCGATATATTTCGCGCTATTAACGCGTAAGCGGAGATTCAATCCGTCTTCTGCTGAAATCTTTGGTGTTGGTGAAGCTCTATATAGGGGGTAGGTGTTGGTGAAGAAAGAGAGAGAGAGATCTCTAAAAAAATTGATAATTTTCCCGTTTTTTTTTTCAGCTGATCAACGTTGTCGCAGAGCTGGGGGGCCCAATGTACGGCAGCCAATCAGTCTTTTCCCCCCTCCTCTACATCATAATGTGCAAACAGGTCCGTGAACAGATATGCAGTCGGATTCCCGAAAGCGTGAAGAAACTCACACGTTGTTGCCAATCAAGTACACCTGTGGCACAACAAAACCGACCAGCTGCTAATGAAACCGCGAACACCCGCGTTAACACTGGTATGAGCCATAGAGGCATGAACAAGAATGGAGGTCAAGGGAAAAAGGAAGGAAAATCGTGTCATCTTCAATTGGAGAAAAACGGGAAAAATTCAGACGATAAAATCAATGCCAAAAACGAGTCCGTTCTCTGAGACTGATAATTCTTATCCAATAAATGTCATATTTTGTTATGTAGTCTCCTGTCTAAAAAATTGTCCATATTTTTAATTTCAACAAAAAGTGTCAAATCTGTTGCGTGCCGAGTGGGAGGGCGGTAGCGGGGAAGAGGGGGCGAGCCCTAAACCCCTAATTCTGGCTGCCAACATTTTCTGAACATTTTATAAAAAAGTGTCCAAAACCTGAAAATTGGTCAATCTAGAAAAAACAGGTTGACAGCTTTTTCAAAATTTTTCGAAACTCCCCCCTTCGAAAAAATTCTGCGCCCGCCACTGGTCAATAGAAAATGGTTGAAAAATCCAGAGCTCGGTAAAAAAAAATGAGAGTGAACAAAAGATATCAATTTTATCTATTTGGTGCTAATTGCCAAAAAAATGCAACAGCAAGGCTTTTTTGAGATGCGGTGAAACAACAAAAGGCAGTTCTACTAAGGCCTTTTTAAAGAAAAAATTAGTGACACATACCTAGGAGCAGGGAGGATTTAAGGGGGGGGGGGGCTCGATTTCGACTCAGGGGAGTTCCAAACCCTCCGAGAAAACTGACACCCTGGCCGCTCAAGTTACACAGTTTTGTCCGCAGAACCCTAAAAATTTTGAAAGGCCCCATCGGCTCTAGCATATAATAATTTTGAGAGATCGCGTAAAATTACCAGAGCAAGTTCCCTGAGCGCAACGTTTGCATTTTTGTTTTACTTTCGGAATTAACTAAGCTGCCTGCTAGGCAAATTTTTGAACTAATATGGCTTTTTTATATATTTGTTTCATTTTAAGTCCAGTTTCTTAATTATGTACATAGACAGCAAAGACATCAAAAGGGCTGATAGGCCTGGTCAAGTGGTGCTTTCATTAAGCAGCACAATTTCAAACCCCTTGTGTACTGAGATTTTTCAAGTCTTAGCCAGTATAAATTGTCATAACTCTTCAACCCAACTCTAACAAATAAGGAAACCTATCATCTCTTGATGATTTGTGATGTATAACTCGCAAAAATCATGGTAAAAAATCGACCATCGTTAGGCTTGCTGATTGCATCAGCAGGAACTGCAAAGAACTGTTGTATAAAAATAAAGGGTTTTCTAATCTGTAATCTATTTTTTTTAAAGACTTTCCAAAAAAATTATTCGTTGGTTTGATTTGTTTTTACTATTTTATTTTGCAATATCCTCATCTCTGTTTCCAAAAATCAACTTTAAAGGAATTCAGTTCTTAATTTTTTTTGTAAATAATAACAATTGTTTCTAATAGCTCGTATATCTGCCATTTTCAACTGAGAATATCTTTTATGTTTCTTTGAAAATTTTCAGACTGATCTCATCTCATTCTAAGAGTTTGATTTGCTAAATTTTGTAAGGAAGTTTTATTGGCTGCGCCGTACACTGACCTTATTTTGCAAAATTGGCTGATTTTTTTTGAATTTTGTTTTGACTTATTGTGATGTTGTTGAAAAGTCTAGCACTTGGTGAAGCAATCCATAAACTCTCATTTTTTGTGTAATTGAAATCTAGAATTTTGTTCTGGTGAACACGCAAAAATGAATTGTATAAGCTTTTCTTAACAGTGCTACATATGTCCTCACTGAGTGGGTAATTTTTAGTAAATCCTCCATCGTTAATAAGGACTTCAACCGCCTATTTTGCCAACTAATGTTATATTTGTCAAATTTGATTTCCACTATACTCGACTGGGAACTCGTAGTGTGCAGCTTTCAACTTTTTCTAGAAGTGTTTCATGTGAAACAGTAAAAACCGCTCCTTTGAGATAAATAAAAATTGCACGAGTCACATTGGAGTTCAAATCCCAATCATGAATGATGTCCATTAAAGCAGCTCTTATTTCAGTTTACGTCTAAAACCGAATTGGTTTTGGGGCAAAACATCTTGATTATCTATAGTTAGTATTCAGTTTATGGAGTAGTTTGTGAAAAAATTTTTTGGAAAGGATTAAAAAACACATTGACCTATAAATAACTAGGCCGCTCTTTTTTTTCAAACTTTTTGAACTGGTATTACTATGGTCATTTAAAAACAGTCTGAAAAAAAAATTCTACTGAACAATTGTAAATCAAGTCTGTCCTTAATTATCTTCAATTCCATCTTTTCAAGGACAAAAGTCTTGAACACTTAAAATTACAATTGTATATTTCATTTAGAATATGGAAAATCTTTTCGTTTTTTTTGCTGGTTTTCAGAAAATTAAACTCTTGAAGACCACTTCTTATGTATTATTTGAGATGGATCAGTTTTTTTAGCTAACTGATGCCCTACTTCAGCAAAAAAATCATCACAGTTTTCGTTTTTTTTTCATGGCTTAAAATAACAAGAAAAATAACCAAGAAAAAAAACATTTGAAAATTCACCTTTTTGAAAACATCCCGCTACCCAGGTTTGCAGTTTATGTTTCGGTTTCTCGATCAAAAATGGGAATGTTTCGAATGTGCTCGACCTATATTTTGACCTTCTCTACCTATTTTTTGCCTTTCTCGACGAAAATTGGGTGTTTCGACTTTGTGTTCGAATTAAAATTGCTTTTCGACCGCTGAATTTCAGTCGCAAAACTGCACTTTCTCGACTTTCAAAGTCGAAACATAAGTTGAGTACCTCGACCCAGGTGCACAGCAGAAGACTTGAAGATTTAACAGGAAAAAAAAACTAATTAACGGATTTCAATTGGTAGTTGGAGCTTTGAAGCTTTTTTCCGAATGTCGAATATCGTTTTGTCTTCTTCAAATCAATTTTGACGCTTTTTAACTAACCAATTTTGACGGGATTTTTTCATATCATTCAAATTAAATTGTTGCCTTATGTTCAATTTTGAAAAACAGTATTTCACCTGTGACCCTTTTCGTAAAATTATCAGGGTTAGTTTATTAGCACAGTTACTTAGCTATTTTTGGGCCTCTTTTGCTTGGGACTTATTTTTGTGGACATGGTAGGTACTGAGGTCTTTCCTGCAAATTCAAAAAGTAGTTTTGGTCTATAAAAAAATTGGGATTCCTCGGGATCTTTTTTGTTCAGATCTTCTCCTTATTAGAACTAATCAATACAATTTTCAAATTAATAGGGTAAATTATCTTCAGGTGACAAATGGGACTAGCAGAACGCCTTCAATATCTTGCTTAGTTAAACAAAATCAGGGTTTATGTTTACTCTCTTATCATTAATTAAACAACTGTGAAGCTCATTGACCCATATCAGTTTAGATCCGGGCTGGCCTTCTCATAGTGTAATTTAGGGTAGCGTACACTGTCTGTTCGTCGCGCTATCTTCTTTTCGGCTGGATAGATTCCTGTAGCTTCTTGGTATAATAACGACCCAAACTTTACTCTTATATTTTCTTATCTCAGTAGAACTTGCAAATAATGGCTTTCTTCCGAGGTTAGAGGAGAGAAAGAGGCAATTATTCCTAAGTTGTTTTATTTTTCTCTGGTTGAAACTGAGAATAGTTTCAGCTTTACAAATTATCTTTAGATCTAGTAATGGTTCATGATTTATTAGTTGTAAATACTTTACAGTGATATATATCAAAGTATATTAAAAAAGCTTGCTTGAACTGGCTCCACCCAACTGGAGTTGAGGAAAATTTTTAATTGAAGCTTTTTCTTGTGAGAGATGGATGGAGTCTTCTAGAGTGTGGAGGAGGGTGTTGATTGAGCGCGTCAGGGAACAATTTGTTGTTGAGAATTATTGAGACTGAGAGATTGTTGTTCATAAAAAAGATCGTACTGAATTTGCAGATATTGTGTCAATGAAGTATCAATTTTGTAAGTTAGAGCAAAATTATGTGCTTTCTCAATTATCCGTTCGTATCGATCGAGTTGTGAGATAAGGGTTGACTTCGCTGAGTGAAGCACCAAGTCACTAGGATCCAAACTTTGAGTTTAATTACTGAGTTCGCCCTTGTTCCTGATCAGTGGATACTTTTGTCTCAATGTTGGCCGCTTCATTTACCTGCGAGGGTTGCGACTGCGGCAACAAACCAATAGATTTGCCAATCCATTGTCGGCATGTCGTCGAGTTTTCCTCATCTCTATTTTTGATGCACGTTTCTTTCTTAATTATGTTATGCAAGGAAATCAAAATGCCTGATAGGCCTGGTCAAGTGATGCTTTCATTAAGCAGTGCAATTTCATACCGCCTATGTACTGAGATTTTTCAAGTCTTAGCCAGTATAAATTGTCATAACTTTTCAACCCAACTCTAACAAATAAGGAAACTTATCAATTCTTGATGATTTGTGATGTATAACTCACAAAAATCATGGTAAAAAAATTGACCATCGTTAGGATTGCTGATTGCATCAGCAAGAACTGCAAAGAAATGTTGTATAAAAATAAAGGGTTTTCTAATCTGTAATCTATTTTTTAAAGACTTTCCAAAAAAATTATTCGTTGGTTTGATTTGTTTTTACTGTTTTATTTTGCTATATCGTAATCTCTGTTTCCAAAAATCAACTTTAAATGAATTCAGTTCTTAATTTTTTCTGTAAATAATAACAATTGTTTCTTTTTGCTCGTATATCTGCCAATTTCAATTGAGAATATCTTGAACGTTTCTGATTGTTGTTTCTGATTGTTGATTTAGAGATTGTTGTTCATAAAAAAAATCGTACTGAATTTGCAGATATTGTGTCAATGAAGTATCAATTTTGTAAGTTAGAGCAGAACTATGTGCTTTCTCAATTATCCGTTTGTATCAATCGAGTAGTGAGATAAGGGTTGACTTCTGAGTGAAGCACCAAGTCACAATGATCCAAATTTTGAGTTTAATTACTGAGTTCGCCCTTGTTCCTGATCAGTGGACACTTTTGTTTCAATATTGGCTGCTTCATATACCTGCGAGGGTTGCGACTGCGGCAACAAACCAAAAGATTTGCCAATCCATAGTCGGCATGTCGTCGAGTTTTCCTCATCTCTGTTTTGATGCCCGTTTCTTTCTTAATTATGTTATGCAGGGACATCAAAATGATAGGCCTGGTCCAGTGATGCTTTCATTAAGCAGTACAATTTCATACCCCCTATGTACTGA